CATGCAGGAATAGAGTTTGCTGAGGCCTCACCTCTTTGCTAATGCAACAGCTGCAGCTGTGACAGCATTTTGATAGCAGCAACGAGCACGGGGTCAGCGCCAGTCAGCGTCACACAAAGGCGTAATCAAAAGCCAAAACAACTAACTAACAGACAATGACACTGAGAGAAAGAGTCTAGCTACAAAGAAAAAAAAAGTCGCTAGCTCTTAGGGCTATCAATGGCAAAGGCCGAGACCCCATGAAAGGGGGCAACAACATGTTGTAGCTGTAGCGAGTCAGGCACGTGCATTTTTTAGCTGTGAAAGTTCAAGACAACAAAGGCTTAGGTCAAAACAATAGCACGCCTCGCGGGCTAAAAGGAGCGCCAACATCAGCAGCAGCAACAGCCGCTACAACAACAACAGCAACAACTACAACAACAACCAAAGGCAGCAGACACCCAAGCAAGAAAGCAAGCCGTAGCTGGCAAAACCAAAAGCCGCACAGGTTGGTAGGCAACATTTTTGTTGAAAAGCAGTAACAACACCAACAGCAACAACAACAAAGCTCGCTAGCTGGCAAAGCGGATTTGCCAAGTGGTAAGCATAACAAAGGACACCTGCCACATTGTTTTGCGCCCAGTTGTGCCACGCTGTGCGGCCTTTTTCTGCATATTTCTTATACAACATTTTTACTTTGAAGCAGCCGCGCAGCAGCTACTGGGCAGACTTTACCCAAGAAACTGCCCCAGATGGCAGCAGGCAGCAGGACATGGACTGCACACACACACACACACACACACACCAGTGCATGTTAAAATGTATGCTAAATCCACTTGGAGGTTTTCGCCTTGTTGCGTCTCCCATGTCAATTTAATGTGTTCCTCCCTCTGCGCACAAATGTATGCTACGCTTTTCGCCACAACGATTCTCGCTGCTCTTATCCACTTGTCTTGGCATCTGCAAAGTATTTACCATGATATTTCTCAACTTGAGCATTTGGGCTTTTTATGTCCGCAATCCAGTAAAAAACCAAATCAAATATAAAAGAAATATTGAGCAAATATTCACTGGAGCTGAAAACAATTCGAGAAATGATGCCATTTCAAATATAGGAATCAAATCGGGTCATGCCCCAATTGATAATGCTCAACATTGAGTAAAAAGGGCAACGGAAAACGCAGTTTTAAAGTCGCTTTTAAATTTAGCTTAGGTCTGATTTAATTACCAAACTAATTTGATACTCACATTTGTTATGCTGAAGGAGCTCTCAGTTTCGTTGCTGCATATCACACGCATGTGAACATTCATCTTGCCTGCCATGAAAATAGAACAGAGAGTATACGGTTTTAATTAGTTGAAATGAAGCCTCTTACCAAGAGCAAAGCAAAATAATGAAAAAAAAAATATATATACAATAATAATAGAAAACAGAGCAAGCCAAACCACATAATTGACCCTAATAAAAAGTGATGAAAACCAGAGAAAGCCGTACTCAAAACAAAGCGGCATTTTATTTTAATTGACCAACAAACAACAGAGCACAGAACACAACGCAACTGGGGCATAGCTGAACGAGGGCAACGGCAGCAACATTGCTTAAATGAATCCTTATCATATTCCAAATGCCTGGCCATACGACCAAAACTACGGGCTCCATGGTTGTGGGGCCTTCCTCTGCTGCAAAGTTATCACATAAAAGCCAAAAATAATTATCACTGGAGACGACAACAAAAGCCGCATGATATGAGTGCCAAGGGGGGAGGAGCAGGCGCAGAGGCTCCAAGGGTTTGCCTTTGTTGTTGTTGCTGCTGCTGCTGCTGCTGCTGTTGTCGTTCAAATGCACAGCATTCCCTGTCGGTGTGGGTGCGTTTGAGTGTGTATATATATGTATGTGTATGTATATATGCTGGCAAAAATCTGCCCGCACGAAGGGAGGCGCACTATTGTGGGATTTAGGCTTAGCCGCACAGCTCTCGAACGGCCCCGACCCAGCCTCGTATTTTGCATGTCAGTGGGTGTATTCGAGTTGCCTGATCGCTTGCAGATTGCCAGCCACAGACCCGAAAATGGGGCGACAAAAAGAGTTTTTAATGACTACGAGAACGTTGTCATAATTAAATTGTCACTTTTATTGCCCATTGACATAACAAACAAAAAGTTGTATTCAATGGCAAAGTCACATGTATTTTTTATGTTTTTTTTTAAGTTTCACACGCTTTCGACAATAAAAATCATGGCCATGTACGAAACACTCCACAAAAGTCGGAAATGTTTTGTGTGTGGCCTTTTAAATATTCATGACTCGAATGCAGCAGCAAAGCCAGAAGCATAAAAATAATATTGGGTGCAACAAAATGCGTTACTCAGAGATACCCTGTAAACGCGCTTAAGATTCTCCAAACTCCCAGCGACGAATGAGTGAATCGCTGGGATTTCTTGAAAGATTAGAGACTAGTTGACTAGTATAGTATACCCCTTAATTAAACTAGCCAAGTTTTTTTATAGGGTATTCAAACGCTCTTGTCTGCAAGGAGATTATTTAACCGCATTATCAGGACAGTTCCATTATTTTTTTCTCTAGTTTTTTTCGCCTATCCTGATGATTTCAAGTGCTTTACGTTTTTGTTGCCGACAGGACGTAAAATGCTGTTAGATAACACACAAAAAACCGGGGGAGGGGCTAAAAAAAAATGGCGGCAAGCGCAGCGCGAAAAAGTGTCGCAGTCACTGCAATGGCGCCCGAAAGTGGGCACAAAAAAAAAGTGAAAGATGTTGACGTAGTGTGTGTGTGTGTGTGTGTGTGTCGAGGGGAAGGGTTATGGGCCGTAAGGGCCGGCAGATAAGGAAAACGGAAGTGCATTGGGCTGAACGCCAATTCTAATGCGATTTTGCCATTATCCAAAAACAGCTCAAAAGTCAACAGTTGCGAGGAAAAAAAAATAGGTGGCCAACAAAATGGCGTGCGGAAATGCGCGTGTTGCGCCAGCGGAAGTACGAACGGAAACGGAAGCGGAAGTGGAAATGGAAACGGAAAGGGAAGCGGAAACGACAAGCGACAAGCAGCAACTCTTCAAAAGGAACACACAAAATGATAATCGAATTAGCTTATTGATAGACTCACCCTCCTTGCCGCATCCATGCAGATCGTGAGTGAAGAACAAGTTCACCAAATCCTGTGAGTAGTCCGTCATGGCCTTGCGATGCTGTCCGCACACATTTAGCTCCAGTTTGCTGCTTTTGTGGTCGATCTAACAAAATGTAATTCAATCAAAAGCCAGAATAGAATATGCGGCATTTAAATGGGAACTCACCGCAATCTTGCCTTCCTTGGTAAAGGAGGCATTCTTAAAGTTGTAGCGCATGCCCAGATCATCGTGCACCATCTCACACGTGTCCTGGCTAAAGCTGCACTCATGCGGCGGACAAATGACGCTTGTGTCCCAGTCAAAGTGATAGTTGCACTCATCAATGGAGCTCAGCACTGGCTGTCCCTGCAACGGGTTAAACAATGTTGAGGCCGGCGCAGCATTTAAAGTGGCCACAGGTGAGGTTGGCACCTGCACTCCGTACTTACTCGCCCCGACCGCATGTTGCACCTAAAGCGTATCGTCGTGGATAGATTCATGGCCCTGTCGGTGGGACAGGGATCGCCGTGCAAGTAGAGCAGCTCAACGGTGGTGCGGTTGATGGCCGCCAAGCTAATCAGCGGGAAGCCAAGGCTCTGCAATCAAAAGACAGAGGAATGAGCGAAAGGAAATGGAGTTATGGCTGAAGGTGTCAAATAGCTTTGTCTGCTGCCTGTTGCAACGACTGCTCGAACACATGGCTGAGATTGCCGCAAATAACTTCAAGTCGCTATCTCCAGCCACGTTTACGTCGCATTGCTTGCTGACAATTGGCGCAGCAGTTGCTGTTGTTGTTGCTCGAACAGGACATGCGTCTGAGTGGCCCCATATATCGATGGGGACACTGTCACGATGAAACGATAAGCACCCGAACGTAAGCACAAAACGTTATGGCCCTTGGCAGGCAGCAGCCCCTCGGCCAGTCAATGCAGTACAAACGACAATTTAATGGATGGTATTTCAAAGATTTCAATGGGCCAGGCGACAAACGTGATATCTGATCCGTATTCGATAGCTGCCAGGTTAAAGAGTTAGGCCAGGCACTCGTGTCAGCCATTCTATGCACAACTCCATTAAGTGCAAATAGCTAATTAGATCTATGTAACACTGATATGGGGCACCACTGGCAATTGAATGGTTTGTGGTGCACTTATAATACTCGCTTGAACTGAGTACAACAGGATGCCGGGTCCTTAGCCAGACGATAGCTGTGCAAATTGCTCAATAATCGACCTTTTTGTCGCCTGCTCAATGGCGCTTCAATTGCAACAGGCGCTGGCAACACCCACCATCAGGGCAAACAGCACGCGCCAACTGCTGCCTCTGCCTGCGCCTCTCCTGCCCTTGGTCGTTACCCCCGCAGCTTAAATATTGTCAGCAGCAGCAGAGACAGTCAACTAGGCAGCCAGCTAGCCAGTCGGGGCATTCAACTGGCGACGTGCGCTTAATGTCCAAACTGGAGCCGTTGCAGCAGCATGGCAATGGTGCTCGAGTGGCACAAGATTTATGCCCCGGGTCAGCGACGTCGATGGTGGCAAACGTTGCACATGTTGTCGTCTCATCTTAAACGTATTAGCCACTGGCGGGCAGACGGCACAAACTCATTTCGTATGCAGCTCAGGCAAGGTTTAAGCAGTTTGCTCTATTATTTATTGCTAACCGTTACGCTGGCTGGCAGTTTTTTGCCCTGCTTTCCGGCCACCTCTGTCCCATTGGAAATCTATTGAAAACTCAAAATCTGAACTAATGCGGCATCAGCAAACAAGCAGCAGCAGCAGCAGCATCTAGGAATGTCCTTCAGCAGGCAATCCTTATTAGCATTGGATATGGCTGGACAGCAGCATGGGTTTATATATATATATATATACATACATATCTATATATGTATGCTGAGCTGGCGCCGGCTTATCGGCTTAACTGTGGACGGCAAGTTTTGAGGAACTTTCTGTTTCAAAATTTATTGAAAAACTTTCTTATCGCATGGGTACAAGCGGGCGAGTTCTGTTTGTCTATGTTTCCTGGCCGATTGTTTATATTTTCTTTCAAGTTTCGTGAACTTTTCACTCAGCAGTCGAGAAAGACAGAAAGCGTTGACCGGGCCAGGCAGCACAACAACGACAACAACAAGAAGAAGAAATAATAAGTAAGCTTAATTGTTTGCAGATACCAAATAAATAAGTTGTAAAATAAAAGTTTGATCTATACACAGCAAAAGCAAACACAACAACAAAATACAAAACATACTCAACAAAGAGCAGGAAAACAAAGCAAAGTTGTTTTTATTGAAAAGCAGCTCAGCCAAAACTAAAATGAAATCTCCCCAGGTCGTGTGGGTGTAGTCGCATCTCGATTGAACTCTAATTAAAAGCATCGTACACAAGGAAACTAATAGATGTGACCAATGGCAAAAAGAGTATGAGCAACTGAGACAACTCGGGCCATTTGAAATGGAATGCTGTCGCAACAATTTTCATGGAATTTTTGCACTCAAAAGTATCTTTTAGCTATTTGTAGAACCAATTGCTTGCTCAAAGCGAAGTACTTCAAACCGGGCAGAGCATACATGGAGGAAGTGGCCCGTTGTGTATTTGCTGCTAAAACTTCATCGAGTTAATAAAAGCAAAACAAAAAAAAAACAAAAAATAGAATAAATATAAAAGAACGAAAACTTTAAGGCAGAAAAAGCTAAAGCTGTAGCTTTAGTTTGAAAGCAATAAAGATTTGTGCAAGTTCAGCATTTGGAGAGGCGAGCGCAGGACATGGGGAGTGCGAGCGTGAGGCATTAGCATCAAATATCCTGTGGCGACACGCAGGCCAAAGGCATGGCTAGCCAAAAGGACGCCCCAAAATGTTGTCATGTATGCGTGTGTGTGTATGCGTGTGTGTGTGTGTGTGTGTGCGTATATGTATGTTGTCCAATGGGCAGCAGCATAATTTGCTACATGCTGAACAACAAGCACATGTCTGTTAAATGAAACCAAAAATGTGTTAGCCTGGCTTAAAGGCCATTCGAATTATTAGCCGAACAAATTCTATAAATTGCCACAGACTTGGCTCGAATTGGTTTCTTTTTGGTTCCCTTTGGGTTTGGAAAAGCCATTAACAGGTTGCAAGCAACTTGGCAATGCGAGGCACATGCCGCAGTCAAATTTGCAACATTCGCCAAAGACGCTGCATGACAATGAGCTCCAGCTGCAGCACAAGTTGCACAAGCAGTGACAGTTAGAAAATCAAATGTGCCAAGTCAATGGGTCTCAAGGATATGGCTTAGGATGTGCAGCTGGCAGCACATTAAAAATATCTGCAAATGCTCGACTGCAAATCGGATGAAGAAGAGGCAGCCAGAAGCCAAACGACTTTCGACATTTGACAACTGTCAATGAGTGGGTGGCCCCAAACACCGCCAACCCCCACACCTCTACTGGGTGATCGGCAGGGGGGTGGCTGGTTAAAGTAAAGAGTTGCGCCCGTTCAAGTGCGCGCCAGCAGCTAGCAGCACATTTCCGTTTCCGCACACGAAATGCCGCTGAAAACGGAGCATTTTCAAAATGCAAAACGTGGCGCAAATGTCAACAGCAGCAGCAGCAGCAGGAGCAGCAGCAGCAGCAGCAGCAGCAGCAGCAGCTGCAGCCACCAGCGACACGCTGCGTGCGAATGTGTGTCCGTGTGTGTGTGACGGCATGTATGTGTGCGCCTGCTGTGCAAATAAAGCAATATAAATTTTAGAAAAATATATAACCATGGCTACGTTATTTCTAGGCCAGCGGCATGCAAACAAAGCCGACGGCACTTTGCCCCAATCGACAACAGTCTCTGCCGCCTCCTCTACCTCCCTCTCTCTCTCTCCCTCTCGCTCTCTTTCTGTCTCCTTGCGTCACCCCAACAGCCGGAAATGTTCTGCACAGCACGTCGCATGGGGCACACACATTTCTTCATACAGCGCACAACTCCAGGCCAGACTGGTTTTGTGTGTGGGGCAACCACTGTGATGGCTGTTGGCCGCTAAAAGCTGTTTTTACAGTTATATATGCAGATACATACATATATATCCATATACATATTTATCTGAATGTGTATGTGCACATATTTTTACGCCAGCGTCAACGCCATAGCCGCATTTTGCCATATCCTTCCGTTCCGTTCCGTTGCCTTCTGCCACGTTACATTCACGAATAACGCGAGCCACGCAATGCCGCCAACACCCAGGCGCCTCTCCTATCCCCTAATCATGGACCCTATGCCCCTCGTCATTTGCAGCGCGTACGTGCTTATTTTTTTAACAACTTTAACATTGTTTTTGCCTCTGGCATGTGATAGAAGTTATGCTCCGAGGGGGAGGGGCGGTGGAGAGTCGCGGACAGTGCCTATGGCATACGGTATGCATTCTGTGTCGCTGGCAATGATTGGGTCGCTCTGTCAGCGCACAATAATTCATATAATTATTGCGTAAGGGTTTCTCAATGCCAGCAAAGCGATTCATAACGATTTGCTCTAAAGCTGAGCCTTTCCACTGCTAAATTGAGCTGCTAATCGAGAGAGTAGCCACAAATGGTGCTAGGGCTGATATAACTATATAAATACTAGTCTTTTTCGACTGCATATATCGACTATAATGTATAGAAAATAAATTAAAATTACAACAGCTCAGCATTTGGAGAAATTTTCGGCACATTCTTGCATTTGAGTGGCAGCAAAACCCGACAATGTTGGCGAGCAATTTGTAGCATGATCTGAAATCTCATTTCAAGCGAATTTCATTGCATACTTTTGTGGGCTTAAGTACTTATTTAAGCGCCGAGCAGCCGGCAGCTCGGACAGCAGGATACCCGGGCACAGACACAAGCGCACAGAGCCGAAAGGAAGGGACTTAGATGGAAAATGGACAAGAGGGCGTGTTCACAATTTGTGGCATTAGGCAACTTTTAGAGACCGGCCACAGTCAGCTAGCTCTCTTCAGCTGTCAACGGCAGGCGGGCGGACATTTGCGTCGCTTAATGAAGTAACCAAATCCACTGGTCACTCAGTGGTGCCCAGTGGCCACTGACTGTCTACCACTGTGTGTGTCACAAGGGGGCCTCTGGCCTAGCAATTGGATTTGCTGCATATTTAATGCATGAATGGCGCCACAAATTTTTTTTTGGGCATTTGGCCAAACGGTCTAATGGCCTAATTTAACCATTTAGCAGGGACAAATGTGCTTATGAGTCGCAAAAATATTCAACTGGCCACAGTGAAATTGGCGCCAATTACGGGCAATACACAGTGCACACATGCAACTCTCTCTCTCTCTCTCTCACACACACACATGAGAAGTGGCACATACGCCAGAGCTTAGGCTTTAGGCTATAAGCCGCTTTGACTGGTACTTACAACCTCCTCCTCTGGGGAACCGGCTGCCGACATTTTGGCCATGCAGACAGCAGAGCCACCGGCGCAGCCTAATTGGTATTTCGGCACTAATGGGCGGCACACGTTCAGAAAGAACTGTAAAGACAAAGAATCGGGCAACTATCTAGATACCGGCAGCTCCAATGGGAAATCAAGCTCACAAAGCATACTCACTCACCTTCGTATTTTTGGCCACCTGCTGCTGTTGGTTGTCTGGCAATGCGACCCGGGCCTCATAATTTTCATAGTTGTTTATCAGGGGTGTTATGTCGAACAGCTCGTAGCCGCCGCCGCCCGTGCCATCCTCTGAATTGTCCACATAGATCTTTTCTGTGCATCGGATCTGCTCCAGACATGCGAGCGGCGTCCAATATTGAATTAACAACTGGCAATTGGAGTCCTCAATTATATGAAGAGCATCGGCGTCCGAGCTGCCCATCGTTGCATTGCTCGCGCAGACAAATTCGATTTTTGTGGACCAGCGACGATTGCCGTTGTCGCATTTAACGCCATCCTCGTACAGCAAATACGGCGAGCCGCTCTGATTGAAACGCAAATTCGCATTGAAGTTGCCCAGGCCATAGCTTACGCCATTCTCTTCATAACAGGCGCCTGAAAGTGCACAAGGGAAACCAAGTGAGCTGCAGCGTGTGTTAGACATGTTCACAAAAACCGTGACAAGTGCCGCCCTGAACAGCAGTGCAACACAGCCACCCGTTTGCTGCGCCCACCTCACCCACTTCACCAAAATGGCCGTCAAATGGAACGCTTGCCATGAGCCCGCGTCCATCAGCCCATCAAAGGGAAAATTAATTGTTGCTCTCTTCCCCGTTTATCGCGCCGTTCTCTTATCAACTGCTTCTGGTTTTTGCCCACCTCAAATTGTGCTCTATATGAAGACTGTGACAAACGATATTTGACCGTAGGCAAATATACAAATGTGTGGTTATGAAATGATATATGGTGCACATTATGCAAGCCAAATAAATATTATACAAATTTGTTACTGGAGTACGCCGTTTGGCTTTAATAAACATTAAAAAAATCAAATTTCCGGCTTAAGATTTCATAAAATTTACAATTAAAAGCCAAAGCTGATAAGCCCTTACTGGGTATACTAAATGACTATATATATATACAATTTAAGAGTCTCGTTTTTGTGGTTTTAAAGTTAACTGAGTTCATGCACACAAATACATATATAGATATGGCTAAATCACCGGACTTCTAGATTTTCTGACTATTACATATAAATTTCAGAAAATCCATCTAATTTCAATTCTTCTCCTGATTCTTGAAATTCACTTAACATTTACATATGTATAACATGTACTTAACATGTACATATATCATCACGTAAAGCATCGCATGGCATTTATAGCAGAAAATCAGTTATTCTCCTTCGATTTGATTGAAATGCATCTAGTGGTCAGCATTGTGAGTTTGACTATGATTTGACTAGAATATGGTAATTCCAGTCCAATCGTACACCCTGCTTTTCTATTTATCACTCTGACGCCCCTGGCGATTTTTTGTTATTTGTCTGCTTTCGTGCTTTATTGCAGATGCCACAGCAGGAAGCAAGTACAAGAACCACAATAGAATCTGATCGATATCGTTGGCTTTTTGATTTGGCCACATAGGTGGTGGTGCACCGGGTCCGTTTAAACAAAAAGTCAATTGATGTGGTTTTTGCTCTTGAACTGAAAAGAAATCGACTGTCAAACAAATTGATAAATGAGAATTTCGTCGAAGTGTGACAATACTCGTACAAGTATCTGTGCCAGCATCGAGCATCTGTATGTGAGTATGTGTGTGTGTGTGTGTGTGTGTGGGTGGGTGCATGTCCTGTGCGACAGCGTGCAACTGACCCTTGCAACGCAAATGAAAACGAGTGAAGCAACACAACTGCTGCCGTTCCCAGATGTCCACCTTTTGGGTCTCAAATTATTTCCGTGCCGAGATTAGCCAAGGATATTGATCTGCTGTCACACCGAGCAAAAAATGTGAAAGTGAATTACGCCACAAAACACTCACAAATTCAATTTCAATCCAATCACTGCTTGGCTGGAGCCCATGGGTCTCCACAAATTGTGTGGCCAGAAGCCAAGGCAACGGCCAAAGCTAAAAACAATCTATTGCTAAAATCGCCCGAGATCTAAGAAGGAGTTAACTATAACCAGAACCAAGACAGAGTTAAATTTGTTGCGTTTCAGGGCAAATAAATTCAAGAGTTGATAGCATAATACATATATCTATGTATGTGTATATATATATACTTTATATACATACACTTAGCATTAACATACACAAGGAGGAATAAAAAAAAAACAGGCCAGCAAAAACGAAACGAAAGTATAGCAAATTGAATTTCAATAAGAAAACAGAAAAGAAAGCACCAAGAAAAGGGCTCAAAACCTTGGCCAGCACAACAAAGAAAAATGTAGAAAACAAATGTATAAACGATTTAGTAGCTGCTTGGCTGGCACATCCTGGCGCATCCTGGAACGAAAGGGCTGCTGGCAAGTGTCAGGAATGGGGCGTGTCTCTAAATTGAATCTGCCCAACAGCAAAACAACACCAGCGCTCACAAAAAAATTGCCAGCTTACAAAAAAACAATATTAGAAAATATTGGGGGAAAAATATATGTACATATATATATAATACATATATATAACATATATATAAATTGAAAATTATTAAGATTGTAGCTTGCCAACTGCTGCGCTATGTAGAAAATAAACACACTCTTCAAACTGTTTGGAGTGGCTACGATTTGTGCATTTATTTTTGCTGCTGGGGACTGACTGCAATTGTTTTGTTTTTGGCATTGCTCGGCACTTGTCGACAATTTGGTTACTTTTACGCCGTACTCTAATCAGCTACACAAACGAGTTGCACACAAAAACAACATTTGTAAATTGATATTGATGCGATTCGGCCATTTATCATTTATCATTTATCATTTACATCCGAATAACGATATCTAAATGTTTTCCCAAATACATGCTGAAACATGTAAAAATTTCAAATGCAATGACAGCGTGCAACGTGTGTGGCATAAGCAATTAACAACATTTTATTACGACTAACGCGGCGGCCTTGTTGGCCATAACCATGGCTATAACTTGCAGCCAGACTGCATGTACCAAATGCAACGCAAAATGTAAAACTACAAAATATCAGCGCAATTATGAAAGGAAACTGCAAATGTGCAAACATGACATGACTTGCTAGATACTCTCTCTCTATCTCTATCCATCTAATATAACTTCAATGATATTTGCTAAATAACCAACAGACACTATATACATACTTTTACAAGATCTTTATAAGCTCTTTCGAGACTAGACAAAGAAAAACCAGAAAAATAATAACCTAATAAGCTCTCACAAGCTGTAGCTCTTAGCTACAGTCTAGTGTATACCCACTTTGGCACACACCGCATAGAGTATACATATACACAACAACATCGGAATTTACATGCAGCAATATGGCGTCTGTCAGTGTCATCTAGGCGCCAGATACGCCAGAGTTGCATATAGAATGCACGGCTATTCGTGTGACCGTGTCTGCTATTTGCTTAACAAATGAAATTTTCGTGTAGTGCCCCGCCAAATGTTGGCCCGCAGGCGTCTCGCCCTTAAGCCTATCCGCGTCGGTGTCTGGTCCGGATAGCAATGGCAGTTGCCAAATGCAAGCAAGCTTATTTATTTGTTTTGGCCCAGCGGTGGTCATGATTTCCAGCTCGACTCCCATACCATGCCCACGTTTTTCTGTCAGCCGCGAGGCAGTCCCACGATCGAAAAGGACGCGCCAACGGAAATGCGTCTGTAGTGAACTAGAAATGCAGGCACAATTGTGTGCGTGTTGGGGAATGGAGGAATGTGTGTGTTCTCTGTATGTTTCACGGCTAAGCCCAGGCACATTTACTCTGACAACAGCCCATATGGTTTATGTTCACTGTTCTTGTTTACTAAAGTATAACATTTTTGCGTTTTTTGGAAATATTAGCAATTCTTTGCACAGTGCAACGATTCACGAGAGGGGACTATAAGCCCGTATCACAATTGTCGCTTAAATTTGTATTCGAAATTATGAGCTCACGCAATATTCAAAAGAAACATACATTCCTGATATTCCACGTTATTTTTCCTTATTGGCTGGCATCATGACGTTATACCTCTATCCCCCTAAAGTTTTATTATATGCGTATGAATAGAACAACAAAGCTTTGCTGAGGTCAGCATATATGTACATACAAATATTTGTACACTCACGAAGCTAATTTTAAAATTAAATATATGAATTAGAAACATAAAAAAATAATGAGACATTATAAATACACATGTTTCTCTTTCTCCCTTGAGCTTAAAATCATGCAAATAAAAATATTAGAGAGCTTACGAAATGCTAAAGGGTTTAGAATCTTAGTCTGGAACTAAACCAGCTTATTTGCAGTAAACTAAGCTGATTAAAGAATAACACACAGTTTTTCCTCAACTTAAGCACTCGAGTGTTAAATTTTAATTATACTCTTCCTGGCGCTTATGTGACGTGCAGCATGCTAGGTGGATGCTGGCATACGTGCAACGTCGACAGCTGCTGTGGCTGCACTTAAAAACTTCGTTAATAATTCAGACAACAAATGACCAACTTACCACCATTCGCCAAGCACGGTGAACCGGCACCGGTGCATACAGCCACATTGTAGGTTTTCCCGTCTTTGGACAATTTGTGTGGTGCACGGTTACTGAGCGCGCTGAGATCCAGGCTGTGAAATACATTCAAATATGTGACACACTCATGTAGGGTACATGAAAAGGTCTACTTACAGCTCATTGCTCGTCGTCCTAGCCGTACAGGGCTTTAGATTCTTGCACGCTAGCGGCGTAATAAAGTTAAATTGGTGTGTGCAACCATCTTGTTCCGGGCCCACATATTCGGGATGTGCGTTCTGGAAATAAGTAATTACAATGCATCGGACACTCGACGATTATAATATAAAAACAAACCAAAACGTTTTTATCGCAGTGGAAATTAACAATACTGCTGTAGTTCAATTTGGGATTTCCTGCACACGGTGTTGACGAATTATGTATCAGAAGTAGTTGCTCGTTTTTATATACGGGTTGCGTCTGTACATTGCCGAAGTTGATGAAACTGAGAGTATGTTGAAAATTAAAAATTAGAAGCTAAATTTTCGATAATTATTAAAAATTAATCTAATTTACACACCGTTTTTTTAAATCAGTCTCTTTGGGGGAAAAAAGACAAATGCTGCTCCCGGCTGGACACATGGTATTCTCGCCGTAAAGCACCGGCTTACACACATTGATTATAAAGAAATTTCCTTGACGGTCAGTTGTTCTATAGTTAACATCGCTAAGCTCCATCAAATCGAATGTGTTCCCAGTATTCGTATACGGCACACTGCAGCTATTGGATTGCGCATCATCTGGTATTGATAAACAGGCTACCGGAGTGTCGTAGTTAATATAGAAGGAACAAGTATCTTCAGCCTACAATGAGTTGCAGATAAACAATAGCTCTAATTATGTTAAAAGGAGTTACAGTCACTCACAAATGAAGTTATTTGTAATGGATTGTTATCCAGCGTGTAGTCGCAATTGAGAATCACATGAAGCTGATAGTTTGGATGGTCTTTGGTTCCGTTCTCACATTTCGCTCCATTTAAATACTTGAGATACATTTTTCCATTATGATAATGAAGTTCGTGTTTGCGACCTATGATCACATAAATTTAAAAATAAGCATCTTTTAATGAATCAAATTGCGCTTACCGAGCACATATTCTTTACCCTGTCTCTTGAGACAGGCAGCCACATTACTCTCATTATTACATTGGAACGTCAAGTTGCTGCACACATTAAACTCAAAGATATCATTGCTCACGCTCCGCACTACATGCGCCAAATCCGAGTGCAGTTTGCTGAAATCAAACTTGTTGCCATAGACGGGCTCCGTTAGCGTACAATCGCTCGATGTAAAGTCCTGTAAGCATACAAAATATTCAAAATTGCCGCCATTCTTATCAAACTGTTAGCCCACTGTTAGCTGTTAACAGGCATATTTGTTGGCTGTAGTGATATCTTCATTTGCTGATTGATTACTAATAAAAAAGGGAACAAAGGCTAAATGGCACCAATACAATCCGTATACATATATAAAAATATTTGTATACATACATATATGCATACATATATCTAAAATATATAGGCACATAAATACAATTATATATATATTTTTTTTATATTTATGTCTATAAATATACATATATATATATATATATATATGGTGCCCTCATACGAATACCCACATTGCTGGTCACAAATCTAAACATTATCGTTCTTTTACCTGTTAACATGGCAACAAGTGCGCAGTACGAAATTTGTAAGACTGTTAACAACACAGTTAGAGTAACAAAAACAAAAAAGAAAACACTCCCATTACACCTGCAACCCATCTCCCGGCAGCCACTCACCAGCTGATTTGCGTCATCCCCAGCGGTTGCACTGCATATAAACGCCAGTAATATGACCAGCATCGAAATTGGCGTCGTTGTGGCGCCACAAATCCCTATTCTCCGTTGATTACTCATTACAAACAGCTTAGTTCCTTGTACGTATACATATACTTGGAATAGAATTAGCAAAATCTGCAGAACAAAGCAATTATTGTGGCCAAGGGTTTATGTTTTATTTTTGCGTATCGGCTTTAAACGTTATTAAGCTTATCACATACACTCGCTGACTGCTTTGGTAAATTGTTTACTTAGACACGGTTTGTATTATGCCGATTCGATTTTTCAAAGACCGCCTGTCTTATCTGAATAGCGCGGTAGATTACACTCAACGATAAGCACAAGTCGGTCGCTCACTATGATTCACAGCACAACAGCACGCAGGCTTGTTTATTCAAAACAACTGGATGTAATTTTCGCAACGCAGCAAAATTGATTGAAACATAAACTCGTCGGCACCGGAGCCACAACGGTGAGGGTAAAGATGCAAAAATAGCAACAGTAATCAAGAAGAAGCAAAGTCAGGGCAGCAACAAATAGTACTGGTTAACCTTCACAATCAGCTGTTGTCTATTGTGAACGACATTAAACTGAGAAAGATATACTAAGATATTCAAAAAGTATAGAGTATTTTCTCAACATATATAAATTATACGGTAGAAACTAAATAAGTAAGTGCTCATATTTACGATTTGATCTAAAGCATTTTACAATTTCATTAAAGCAACAGCTGAGCAGAAGAAGCAAAGCGAGGGACGCATAAAAGCAGTGTTGAATAACAATCGTCATCAGCTGCTTGTGCTAAATCGACTCCATATATATTGAGTGCATTTAGTGTATTAAGGTGCATTTCTTTTCTTAACAAATATAGTCAAGTAAAATGGCTGCCAATATTGCCGCAGCGGCTGCTGCTTCACAAGAAGTAGATCCTGTGCTGAAAAAGGCAATCAAATTGTTGCATTCATCGAATCCTACGTCTGCAGCGGAACTTCGGATGCTGTTGGATGAAGCGATTAAATTGCGGTTTGGACCGGACAAGATGATATCGAAAAGCATGACCCAACGCATGGTGGACGACGAAGCTAATTTTCCAGGCCGTGCAACTCCACAGCCTCCAATACAGCCTATGGCCACTGATGAGATTATCAATCTGACCAACTCCCCGGACAAAGTACCTGCAGATTCGCCGGACACCATTGCAGATTCAGATGATGGCAGCGCCGTTGGAATAACCATGAGCGGTGTTGTCAATACAGGTGACACTGGCGACTTTGGTGACTTGAATTGTTGTGTCTGTGGTGAAATGGTTTATAAGGCCACCAATCGACTAATTGAGTGTTCTGAGTGTGGTGCACTTTATCACCAAGAGTGCCATAAGCCACCTATTACAAATGAGGAGGCTGCAGACGATCAAGTTCATATCTGGCAATGTGACACCTGTTGCAATAAGCCCTCAACTAGCCGGGCAGCTGCTACCATTCCCATTCCAACGGCCACCCCTACTGTGGTCATACCCGATGAGCCCATACCACTAGCAACAAAGAGCAAATCATCCGTGCCGTCGTCGCGGTCATCTACATCCTCGAATTCGTCATCGCCGTTCTACAAGCCCGAGATGAGCAGCTCCACAAATGTGAGCAGCAGCAGTAGCAGCAAACATGGACACAAATCTTCCTCTTCATCGTCTGCAAAGTCACACAAAGAAGATCGATCCAGTCGAGCTATGGCACCCGCGTTAACTAACATCGCCACAGTAGAGAAGCACGCCAGCAGCAGCAGTAGCACGTCATCCTCCCGCCGCGGCAGTTCGACGACCAAATCCAGTAAGAGCAAGCATCACGAGAGCAGCAGTAAACGGAGATCGAAATAGTGGTTACTTAACTTTTAATATAATTTTTAATGTGAAACTCAAATTCATTCAACATAATTCATTATCGATAAAATATGCCTACATAAGTATCAAAAACGGGTATAATGACCAAATTAAATCTATGTATAAAAATATAAGTTAAATTAGCGCCTGTACTTGCGTACGGTAACTGCCGGAGTGCGAGGACTACGGGTGGGATTCGGCGTTGGCGAGCTAGAGCTACCGTCCCCATTAACTTTTCGCAAATTAATGCGTGTCGCTGGAGAGCCGCTTTTGGGTGTGAGATTACTGATCGAGGACGAAGTCTTGGTGCTGCCCGCAGGTGTGCTACCTGGCTCCTTCTTTTTTCGCTTCACATTCACAATGACATTAGCATCCATGCTGACATCCAGTTCAATGTTATACTCATAAGTCTTATTAGAGCGTGGCTGCGGAGTCAAGTCATCGTTGATTACAGTCTTACCGGTTCGACCGCCACGCAGCGAAATCGCTGGACTACAGTTAATCTTGACACTGGCGGCCTGCGCCTTGGGTGTTCCATTGCTGTCTATTTTTTGCCGCTTGAGCAGTGGTGATTTGCTTTGCGGAGGTTCCCTTTTTTTGGGCGAAGCTGATGCTGGTTTGGGCGCTGCTTTGCGTGCATGCTTTGCTTTTGTGACTTTGGACCTAGGGCTTGGAGATTTTTTCACTCCTGGCAGCTTTCTGCGGGGAGTATATTTTGTATCCGCTTCTTCCTCGCTATCATTGATTACATCCTCCGAATCCGAAGAGTCACTTAATATAGGTTCTTCTTTAACCTTATTCCGAATATTCGCCGCAGTCGCAGCTGCTCCTGCTGTTTTTTTGACTGGGGGACTGTTATTGTTGTTGCTACTTTTTTGTGCCTTAAGATTAAAATCCAAGTCGCCAGTGTTATCCGCTTTCATTTGCTTTAGAGCATTTAGAAACATCTTACGGCATTTTTCATAGTCCGGGGCTTCGTTGTGCTTCAGCTGAGCTACGTACTTCATGTAATCAGCGACTGGTGCAGGCACACCTTTGGGAAATACGGACTTTAAGGAAGAGCTCACATTCGCCATAAACATCTCCTTAGCTTTTTGAACTTTTGCCGGAGCAGTTAGCAGCTTCTCCTTAATCCAGGGTAGCTCCACACCCAACCATTCAATAATATTATACCCGAGTATTTCAAGATCAGCGCGTCTAGTAGCTACACCCAAATGGGCGTCCCGTGATGTGTACTCAATAGTGCCATTATGCATTTTCTTTGGATCCGGTTTGTAATCGCCCGTTGTGTAGTGCGAGGCTAAGCCAAAATCCACCAAATATGCCTGGCTACCACCGCCTTTTCCCATGCCAAGTAGAATGTTAGCCGCTTTAAGATCAGCATGGACATAGCCGGTGCTGTGCATAAACTCATACACATCCAGCATTTGAATGGCCAGTCTGTAGACGGTTACCTCGGGCAAGCGTTTGCCGTTCTGGATATAAAACTTGGATATATCACTACCGTAACGAGGCATAACTATAAATCGATGCTTCTGGCCATTTATATCCACAGAGCCGTTGGCTATTATATAGGGCATGCCTAGAGACTTGAGGCCACGCTTCTCCTTAAACTTTTTAATGTCTTCTAGTTTTGCATTTCGCAAATAGAAGTGCATTTCGACAAAAAGCGGTCCATTCGCATGTGGTTCCTGGAATTAATGAAAAGTCGCTGTTTAAGCTATCGAGTTTCTTGTACAGATAACATTAAATACTGACGCATTTCACAACAGCATCGTAGTTGTTTTCGCCGTTGCGAGTTGCTGCATAGATTTCTCCAAAACCGCCAACTCCAATCGAAGGCCCGATGCGCCACTGTGTCTTCGCCAAATCGCTGAGTATGGTTCCCTCCTTCAACTTCTCCGGCATGGCATACAACTTGCCTTTGGGCTTTTTAGCCGCCGCTGGTTTTGGCTTAGCGACACGAGGCATTTTCCGGTCTAAGAAGGCACAGATTACAATTTTATTTAATTTCAGCACAACTTCAGATGCCAAATGTCGCCAAAGCATTCGCATCAACTACGCGCCATTACATACAATTCTGCTTCGCGTCATTCATTGTAAGCAAGTTGGCAGGTCTCGTGAGAGTGCAGTAACAGCACTATGTAAATTAACAGAGCGCGGTAAAATAATTTTAAATATCTCATTTAAAAATTGAAAACTATAATTGTTGATCCAAAGGCAATTGAATTTCAAATATTATTGACTAGCTACACTGATACATTAAACAAAAAAATTTATAGATGGCCCCAATTTGATTCGAAGAGACCGCACACGAAACCCATCACTGGCTACAGCATCCGCTTTCATTGCGCAGCTGTATTAACTGTCACCCGGCTTTTGGATACCACCCACCCTCAAACCGCTGCCAGCCTGCAACAGGACACATTTAAAAGAGCAAAAATCAGTCAGTCGTGCTCAGTAGATGTTTCATCTCAAACGTGAACGGAACGCGACACCAGATAAAGAAACAATACTCTGTCTGTAAAATGTTAACGCGAGTTTAGAAAACAGTTCTTAAACTAGTGATAGATTCCGAAAGTGTAAAATCCAAACTAGTCGATAAACGGGGCTCCACAACTAAACGTAGCCAAAATGCAGCCAAGTGTCGGCAATAATAATGGGCTGCTTTTATTGGTATTGCTGCTGATGCTGCAAAATGCATTCAACTGGCGAGCGGCTCTGGCACTACCCGACGTTATAAAAATCGGTTAGTTGCTTTTGATTTATTGTTGTGGCATTCAACCTAATATTAATTGATTGAAGTTGCTGTCAACTTCGTCATCATTCATTGCCTGATTTCGAAAAGCATCTTTAGCGTGTATCGATTTTTTATCACATCAAAAGCGCGCGTGTGTGTATATACTCGTAAATGTCCTTGCTGATGTGTGTCGCGTTTGTGTTTGTGTTTTGTTTGCTCCTCCTTTCCATCGTTTTCCTTTTTTTTTTTTTTACTTATCACCAGAAACGTTTGTACTTACTTATTAATAACATTGTTTTTACCCGTTTATCGCCGCAGGTGGACTATTTCATCCCTCTGACGACCATCAGGAGCTCGCCTTTCGCCAAGCCGTCGAGCGCATAAATGCCGACCGCTCGATTTTACCCCGGTCTAAACTTGTCGCCCAAATTGAGCGCATTTCGCCATTTGACAGCTTCCATGCCGGCAAACGAGGTAAGCAGTAGGTGGCACGGCATGCGCTACACCTGATGACCCCCCAAATGTATATCTGTTATTGTTCTCATTCTCCCGTAGCGCTGCATTTCCTGCCATTTCGAAATAATGCAATTTAGACTTATGTATGCTTCATTAGATTCAATTATCGTCGACGAATAATAATGTAAATTCTGGCAATCGGTTTCGTCTATTCATATCGCAGGCTCATTTTATTGTGTTTAAATTTCTCTTTCAACTCATTGATGACTATTGTTTAATATGCGGTCTATTACATTTATTATTGATGTAATGGATGCATAAAATATATAAAACCAATCAAACAATTTTGGTATAGTTAAGTACACAAAACATAACAAATTTTACAAATAATTGAAATTAACAAATTATCGACCAGACTTAAATATCTGGCTTAGAAGAACCTTGTAGTTTATTTTTAAAAATGAAATACAGAGAATATAGTGAGACTCTGATAGCCGAGAGACAATACATGAAAGGGCACTCATTAAGCATTTATGTACATGGCCAAAGCTACCTGACGGCACAGTACTGAAAGCCAAAATTAAACACGTTTTAGCAGGATAGTAAATGGCTGCAAGGGACCTGAGTGCATTATTTACCACAGTCAAGCTGTGCAATCATCCACCCACATCCACCTACAAACATATACATACATATGTATGTGTGGACTTAACTACACATGCACAGATGCACTTGCATGTGCTCAGTAATTTGATGAGCTAACGGATGCTGAGGTAGAAGGCAAAGCCAAAGCCAAAGCCAAAGCCGAAAGGCAAAATGGAATTATGTCTATTTGAAGTGCATTTTAAATATGCGAACTAGGCGAAACGAATGTTCGTTACAGTATATACGGCCAAGTAGTGTATGTGCTACTTGGACCCATTTTATGTTGGCTGCCACAAATCGGGAGATTCAGTCGAGATAATCTCATACAGAAGGTGCATTGGGATTTGGATTGGGAGCAGCGGAAAGCGTATTACGTGAAAATCAATTTGCGACTCGGTGGCCCTCTTATGGGACTTATATGATTCTCACAACATTCTCTTGCATCTTCTTTAAGACTTTCGGCAGTCAGACTAAAAGTTGGCCAATAACTGGGAATCCGCTTTATACATTAAACCTCCTCATATCCTTTTTTCAGTTTGCGGCTTGTTGAATATTGGCGTTGCTGCAATTTTCGGTCCGCAATCCTCGCACACTGCCAGCCATGTGCAAAGCATTTGCGACAACATGGAGGTGAGTGGCATCATAGTTTTTGAAGTAGATGGGGGAGGGGTATGAAATCGCCTTAATGTATGATGACTGTTGCACACAATTATTTAGATACCACATTTGGAGAATCGCTGGGATTACCGACTGAGACGTGAAAGTTGCCTTGTGAATCTTTATCCTCATCCAAACACGCTCTCCAAGGTAACGTTTTCCTGTTGTGTGGCTTGATGCCAACTGTGCTTCAGCTCTTGATATTTGTACTTTAACTCAGGCTTATGTGGATATTGTGCGCCACTGGGGCTGGAAGACTTTTACCATAATCTATGAGAATAACGATGGCATTGTGCGACTGCAGGAGCTGCTCAAGGCTCATGGAATGACACCATTTCCAATTACTGTGCGCCAGCTCAGCGACAGTGGAGACTATCGGTAAGTTCCCCTGCAAGCAAATAAGTTCTTTTAATCACTTATTAAATCAACGCAATTTTAGTCCTCTGCTGAAGCAGATTAAGAATTCGGCGGAGGCGCATATTGTGCTGGATTGCTCCACAGAACGGGTTCATGAGGTGCTCAAGCAGGCACAACAGATAGGCATGATGAGCGACTATCATAGCTATTTGGTCACCTCCCTAGACCTCCATACTGTGAACCTGGATGAGTTTCGATATGGCGGCACAAACATCACTGGCTTCCGCCTAATCAATGAGAAAGTCGTCTCGGATGTGGTGCGTCAGTGGAGCATCGATGATAAGGGCATGCTGCGTTCGGCTAATCTCACAACTGTCCGCTCCGAGACGGCGCTCATGTACGATGCAGTGCATCTGTTTGCCAAGGCGCTGCATGACCTGGACACCTCGCAACAGATTGATATACACCCAATCAGCTGCGATGGCCAAAGCACCTGGCAGCATGGCTTCAGCTTAATTAACTACATGAAAATTGTAGAGATGAAGGGCTTGACTAATGTGATTAAGTTCGATCATCAGGGATTTCGTACAGATTTTATGCTGGACATCGTTGAGCTCACACCGGCCGGCATACGAAAAATAGGCACCTGGAACTCAACATTGCCCGAAGGCATCAACTTTACGCGCACCTTCAGCCAGAAGCAGCAAGAGATCGAAGCGAATCTGAAGAACAAAACATTGGTGGTCACAACCATATTGGTGAGTATGCTGGAAGCAACTGTGGATTAGTTTGAGCATTGCTCGTTCTCTTTGACAGAGCAATCCTTACTGCATGCGCAAGGAATCAGCCGTGCCTTTAACAGGCAACGATCAGTTTGAAGGCTACGCCGTGGATCTAATACACGAGATATCCAGATCGCTAGGCTTTAACTATAAGATTCAGCTTGTGCCCGATGGCAGCTATGGCAGCTTAAATAAAATGACTGGGTAAGTTTCTTGGCCGACGAAAATTTGTTATGTACTTGCTAAACATTATTTTTTTCGACAGCGAGTGGAACGGCATGATACGCGAGCTGTTGGAGCAGCGCGCCGATCTGGCCATAGCCGATCTCACAATCACCTTTGAGCGCGAGCAGGCTGTTGACTTTACCACTCCATTTATGAACCTTGGCGTCTCTATACTCTATCGCAAGCCAATCAAACAGCCGCCCAATTTGTTCTCATTTTTGTCGCCTTTATCTCTAGACGTTTGGATCTACATGGCCACAGCATATCTGGGCGTCTCTGTACTGCTTTTTATATTAGCCAAGTGAGTCGAGCGCTTGCTTAAATTGTGGTCAAGCTTATAAGCAAAGTTCCCTATTCTTTATAGGTTTACGCCCTACGAGTGGCCCGCCTACACCGATGCTCATGGCGAGAAGGTTGAAAGTCAGTTCACATTGCTCAATTGCATGTGGTTTGCCATTGGATCTCTTATGCAGCAGGGCTGCGATTTTCTACCCAAGTGGGTTGCTCTTCATACTTATCAATATTTTTCATGTTTCATAGCTCTGGTCTTCCTTTCAGGGCTCTGTCAACTCGCATGGTAGCTGGCATTTGGTGGTTTTTCACTCTCATTATGATCTCTTCATACACTGCCAATCTTGCTGCATTTTTGACTGTTGAACGCATGGATTCGCCCATTGAAAGCGCCGAGGACTTGGCCAAGCAGACGAGAATCAAATATGGCGCTCTTAAAGGTGGTAGCACAGCGGCATTTTTCCGGGTAATACATCCACTCAATAAGCAATAAGACTGGCCGCGATTGATCCCTTTTTTACAGGACTCTAAGATCTCTACATATCAGCGCATGTGGTCCTTTATGGAATCGGCCCGTCCTTCGGTCTTTACAGCCAGCAATGGTGAAGGAGTTGAGCGCGTAGCCAAGGGCAAAGGTTCCTATGCATTTCTAATGGAGTCCACATCCATTGAGTATGTCACCGAACGTAACTGTGAGCTAACCCAAGTGGGCGGAATGCTAGATACAAAAAGCTATGGAATAGCCACGCCGCCAAGTGAGTGCCATTGAACTTCAGTCTTTTTGAGTCTATTCATGCTGAACTTACATCAATTACAGACTCGCCTTATCGCACTGCCATCAATAGCGTCATACTCAAGCTCCAGGAGGAGGGCAAGCTGCACATCCTGAAAACCAAATGGTGGAA